GTGTCCAACGTGCGTGCGAGTGCAGCGTGTTGACCGATTTATCTTAGATTGCGAGCGTCGAACGCCGCCAGGGAAACGGGACAGCGTGGTCTTATAATTGACTGTTGCTGCTAAGCGTCCGGTGAATTTTGCGGGAGGATGGCTGCAGACTGTTCTACTCTAGTGGCACTTCGGTTGCTGTCAATTAAGCTGGTAACTAAAGAAGGAAGATTAGTACTTGAGGTCTGGTTAGGAGTAAGAGGAAGAGATGGTAAAGAAAGAAGTGAGGCGCCAGGAGTTGTATGTTTTCGCTTATCCGTTTTGCTGTATGCAGCACATTAGGTGACCCTTGATAATTTGTGCGATCTCCGATTCCTGATGTAGTAAGAGTTTGAGGATATTGTCATGGTTGTATGTCGGCTGAGATATTGCCAGGACACACAGACCTAGACAGGATCACGATTAGGGTCCTCAACCAAAGTCTTTGGCTCAGTAGCCTATCCGCAAGGCAGTGGGGAGGTGGCAATGATTTATATTTTCAGAAATAGATGCCATCCCATTCCTAACCCCCATTCTGGAGGACCAGGAGACTGGGTTTATCTGACCTCTAACCATTTGTCAGCTGGTAGGAGTAGGTCTCAAGGGCCCCAGAGCCACCACACATTATTGCTCAGAGTGTGAAGGAGGTACATAAACCGTCGCACCACGTTATGGTCCCGTCTCGTTGAGACGGCTCACTATTATTTAGGAATAATTTATCTGAAGGGATAGCCGGCCCGTAGCCTAAAGTTAAGGAGTTTGTCTTGGAATCTGACGGCGCGCTTTGAGCCTGCTTAAGAACATGGCGTCCCTCTCAGTACCCTTAGCAGACGTGCGCACGGTGGTGGTTGCGCGGCAACGAAGTGTCGGTACTGTGTACCGACGTACTGCTGATGGCTTTCTCTGCTTTATCTAGAGGTATGGTGCGCTGGTAAGGTTGTGTACTATTGCTCACTACAGCCTGTCCATTAGTTTGGATGCCCTTCTCCTTTCTAAGCTCACCTATCGCACTGGTGCCAGTGTTTGATTCTGATCCGTTGAATTTCATCTCAATGGGGCCTTTCACCTAACTATTTCCCTTTTGTTTTCATAACTATCTATCTACGTTAGCATGAAACCGGTTGAACTGCACGGGATATTTATTCCCATCGGAGTATTTCGGTACGGTATCGTCTGGCAGCAAATCGACAGCCTGATCAGCCAGATATTATCACTTTCAGTGAAACATCTATTCCATCTCAGTTGTATTCGACCGTTCCCGTTCTCGACACGTGGCTGAGGAGATATAGCGTTTGATTTGTAGTCCACAAGTAGCCCTTTCGAGCCTTCGCATGTATTTGCGACTGCACTGTGTGTCTGGCTCTTACACGACCTTCGGTAATCAGCTGGCAACGGAAGCCTCCGTACGGCGTACTGTTGATCCCTCTTTTCCTTCTCCCTCATGCACTTTCTTTCACGGTACACATACATTTCAATTTCTGGCAGTTTCCGTATACCTGGTTACAGTTCTGATAGTCGTTTCACATTATCATCGTTACACATTAGCTGAAGCTGGGAAACACCCTTCAACTATTGTGCCGCAATGTGTAAATTTAAGACTTACGAAAGAGCAAGATACTGAAAGTTATGGGCTTCAAAAGACTGGCAACGGACTAAATATAAGATGAATAAATCGTCAGCCATACGCCGTAACGGTACTTCGCTGCCGCGCAACCACCTCTAGCCGCGCATGGGTTGACTTTACCGCGAGGACGCCCGCCCCTACGCAGATTCGAACCGGTAACTTTGTAATTGCAAGCCAAGCGTTCAGACCACTCAGCCACCGACCGAATACGCAATGCACCACTTTTTTATAACAGTTTCCACGAATAGACATAGAGCCATCAGAAACCATGGGACTCAGAAGAAGGTACAGAAATTGTAAAATAAAACGCAACACAATACATTAAAGCCCATTGTTTCGTCAGATGGCTGGATACTACCCGGTTGCCCAACCCGAAGTAGGTTGTTGACGTAGGGGACACCACCACGAGCCTTTGGCCGAATAGCCTGCTCGCAAGGCAGCGGAGCGAATTCAGGGAATCGCGCCCATTGGGAGTCGGTGACTGATTGCTCAGTTCGTACGCCCTTCGTTTGTTCCTTTGTCAAACAGGGGCCAATGATCCCCAGAATTACAGCACAAAGTTGCTGGAATACAATGCTTCGCCAGGGTGAAGCAAGGGGCAGTGACTTTGTTTAGTGGCGAGTCACGTCCGCCACGTCACAGTGTTGTTAAACAGACATGTGGCTTTCTATAAGGAAAACGCTTGCCATGCGAAACCCCACCACGTCCTGGAACGCTGGCGCCGAACCATTTGCTGGAACGGGAAAATCCCGAACCACCCAGCTGGCACCACGAGGAAGTTGTTCGGCAAGCCAGCCTACTTAGTAACATATTATGAGTCAGAGATCGTCGTTTGTGAGATAGGGTACGCGAGATGGGGATGTACAGAGAAACTGCCAATGCAAACACCACTAAGGTCTGCTCCTTGCCATATCAACTATTGTATCCAAGCAGACGTGTTCTTCGTCATACGGTCTCCAGCCCCGTAGTCAGACGACACCAACTGACGCTAATTTCGTAGTGAAGGACTTCAATCCTCTTGACGAAGTCATCACTGGGCTCCCTCTCCTCTTCCATCCATATCCTCGGCGTTCAGACAACGCACGACGCGGGAGTCGGTGGGCTGGCACACGCAACACGTGGTCCAGCCATCGGAGCGTGATTATAACTACGCTGAGTGGTTCACTCGCTCTTCCTTAACCAAATACGCGGTGTCGGACACGCTCATTGCTTACGAGTTGCTCCTACCAGACATGAGCTAAGCTGCGAAGACAACGATGTTCGAACGTGACTAGCCTTTTTGCGTTAGTCGACTTGATGGGTCAGGTTTCACAACCGTCTTGTAGGGTTGAATGGACGGCTGGATTACAAACTCTGCCGTCCAGGGCGAGAGTGATGTCACGCCGGCGCCACAGGTGGCGGAGATCGACAAAATCGCTTCGAGCTTTTGCTATGCCGTTTGTGCTCTCATCTTCCATTCCATTGGCGATAGTATAGTTGCTTAGATACTTAAATTTCTCGACGACTTCAAGCTGACTCCCGTCAAGGTTCAGCGCAAGTTTGGATTCCCTCCAATCTGGGGGAAGTATTTTGCATTTCGACGCTGCAAATCATAGCCCGAAACAACTGGCAGCCAGTGGTGATTTGTCCAGTGCTACTTGACACTTTTGAAAGCTGTCACAGATAAGGACGATGTCGTCGACATCCTCAAGTGAAGACATCGTTCACTTACAAGCAGCTTCACGCCAGTTTTCATTACTTTGTCATTGGAAAAGTAAAAGGACTAGTGACAGCGGGCAACCTTGTTTCCCACCGCTGGAGATATTGAGGGGCAGTGTCAGTTTGCCGTTAGCCCGAACTATGCGAGTAAACCGATCTGATAATGTTTACCTATTTTTCGGGCCTACGTTTCCCATATAGGCAGTTCCAAAGGGTACATCAGTCAACCGAATTGATGTCGAGGAACGCGACTACGGTGGCTCTCCGATAAATATCGCGGTGCTCCAACACTTGAGTTGGTATGAAGATGTGGTCAACTCAGCCGCGACTGCGAAGAAACCCGGCTTGCTCCTTTGGAATCTCGGTTTCAGTTGTGTCAGCAGGTCTATAAAGATTGACAGAGGCTATTGAGATAAGACTGATCCCTCTATTATTGCCGCATTCAGAACGTAAGCCCCCTTAACATAGGGGCTATTTCGGAGCAGCCCCAGTCTGCTGTGACAGTTCCCTGCTCCCACAGTTTCAGAAGTAAGTTGTGTAGGTCATCTACAAGAGCACCTCCCCGGAATTTGAAGAAAGCTGGAGAGATTCTATCCGCTCATGCGACCACAGTTACTTTTAACAGTCTGATTTCACTTTCGACTTCCGCGCGTGCAAATGGGTCCCGTTGGACGATATAGACAGAAGGACGATCAATGTCCGAAGGTGAAACTGGTAGATCTAGTCGATTGAATGTTCGGCCCAACGCCTCGAGCGTTTTGTGACTGCGGATCGACCGTCTATCCTTATGACGTATGGTCTCTCTAACACCGGGTCTCTTTCTGCGCATTTCGCGTATCAAACGGAATAACATCCGATGGTTATCGAGAGCAGCGGCAAGTTGCATCTCCGATGTACGATGATACCAACACGCTTCTTGGTCTCTCTTCAGACTAGCACACAGTTTTGCCCTGAGATCTTTGCGAGTCTCGTGTCCGTCCCCAGCTGGAACATGTTGGCGAGCATCGATAAGTTTCAGAGACTGTATAAAGACCCAATATTTAATTTGGCAACTTACTTTGCCACCGTTTCTTATCTTCTGTGACGGCTAAAGCATCGGGAAATGATGTGCAGTTCATATCGTTGTATTGATTGTGTGGGCTGGATATTGTCAGGTTGCCCAGGTCTAGACAGAAGAACAACTGGGGTTCTCAACCAAAGCCTTTGTTTTCAAAAACCTTACCGCAAGGCCGCGGGGTTTTCGCACTGGAGTACAGAGAGCTCGTTTTATGGAGTTAGGAGCCACCCTCACTCCAAACCTGGAGGACCGAGATACCTGAGTTTGTTTGGTCTCTAACTACTGACCAATCTGGTATAGGTTGCTATGATAGTACAAAACACCTCCCAGCATAGCTCCGTAGATCGCTGAGGTACATGAACCATCGCACAACCTTAAGGTTCAGTCCCGCTGCGATGGATAGTGCCACCACAAATGACCGCATACTCGGCCCATCGCAAATCGGGCACAAACGTGTCCTCCTTGCATCCCATTTCACTACGTAGTTAACCCAAAGATTTCAGCACGGTCCCATGAAACTCGTTATCACTCTTACAAAATACAACCTAATTTTGTCTAATGTTTTAAATGAACATTCTCCTTTACTGTTTCTTCATTTTCCAGAACTGTTTCCGACGTTGTGGCCAAATTCCGACACTATTTACGTTGGGTAGAAACGCCATCTTCGAAAGCCCTCAGACAATGGCTCACATGCCAATTTGCTGAGGTTTTGTTACGTGGTATGTGCATTGGCGATTATGAGCAATATGACTTAGTTTCGGATCGGCAACCGGCAACCCAGACGGTTAGTTTGTTAGTACTTTCTCGTTAGTACTTTCGATTAGCTTCTATACCTCGCAGCGGCTTGGAGAAATAGTTCGCCACCATCTATACCTTCTGATTAATTGGCAGATCACATGATATATATATATATATATATTCTTTGTCCCGGAGAGAAACGCAAACGGTGATTTCAGAGCAGACAATTCGATTTATTCGTCATCCCGCTCAGTGCAGAAATACACGGTAAAAAGCTGACAAATCATTTGTGGGTACAAAGAGTAACAACTGGTCAACAACATTCGCATCGAGTTTTTTGATGTGCGTCTGGCGATCATGTGATGGATGGCACCTGGGATTGCTGGGTTAAGTCTGACTCTTCCACTTGGATGATGGCCATGAGAGCTGTAGCGCGCAGTCGCGCACTCAGCCGATGGTTATGCCAGAAAGGTGCTTTGTACATGATATCAAAAGCAGTCCTTTTATCGATTTGATGGCCAGTGCTAATCGGATGATTTGTGATCGCATTTAAGTTGGTTCTATCATGTTTTTTCATGATCCCATTTCGTAGATGTTCCTTGATTCGTTTGCGTAAATGCCTGGTCGTGCGTTCAACACACCTAGGCCCGCAGGGACAGGTAAACCGGTAAATTACCATAGATTAGATGGCCGGGCGCTTTGTTTTTGAAACTAGGAACAAATAGCGGCTTGCTTGTGAAGACAACTTTTAACTGCGCGGCGTTGAATGTTTTCTCGAAAATCCGTACCAGTCTTCGCGCACACACTTCTGACACGTTTTCGCCTCTGAATGGAAGGGTGAATTTGCGCGCGATCCTTTCTTCGGCAGCAGCAGTCACCTGTTCACGGAAGTGGTACCACAGATCGTTCACTGAGGCTTTGGATTCGACATCGACAAGGCGGGTGGTCATCTCGTTCTTATTCGGAGACCGCAACCTAATACCGTGACATGGTTTAGAGACGTAGGGTGGGGCTGCTACAAGTCACGCGGGAAGTTGATAAAATCAGTCCGTCAGCATGAAACAGGTTGCTACGCGATCTGGAAAAGGAGTATGCAGGTTCTAACTTCTTGTGTAGCGTCGGATCCGCGCGTCTTCCAGGTTGGGGACCACGTGAAGCGGGTTCCCAATGCTTGGAAGTCTTGGAGGATATGACCCGCAATAGGAGTCAGTGGCGTCAATGCTGTTCTACCTTTTCTTCATCCTGTACTTTTTAATGTTGATCCAAACATGATAAATACTCAAAACGGCGTGTGTGTAACTGAAAAAAGCATTCTTTTAACGTTTTATTCTCCCTCTCCTCGTTGAGCATTATATTCTCCTTTCCCTACCGCCATGGTTTATATGGCACATTCGTCTGTTTACATACTTGTGTATAAATAATGAGGTATATAGTCGACAACAATCGGCCGAGGCCAACTGTTTCGTCAGCGTTTTCATGCGGCTTCTCCAAGTTGCAGGCTGTCCACCAAACCGTCTCTTCCAGCCCTGTCCAGCAACCGCAAACAACGCACAACGCGGGTAACGCTGAACAGGCATGCGCAAAACGTGTCCCAACCACCGCGGGTTATGCAGTGAGACGAGCTCCTCAATCGAGTGGCTTCCTCCTCCCAAGACACGCTGTCTAACTTCCACATTGCTTACGTGGTGCTGCCACCACACACGGGCAATGGACCGCAGACAGAGGTACTCGAAGACGTATAGCCTGTGCAAGTCATCTTTACGAATGGGCCAGGTCTCGCATCCGTACAATACTACAGCACGAACAGTTGCACAATAGACCCGTCCTTTGATGGAGAGGCGAATGTTGTGACGACGCCACAAATGCCTCAGCCTAGAAAAAGCGAGGGGTGCTGTCGAGATGCACATCGAAATCTCGTCTCCAACAGCGCCGCCAGCAGTGATGCAACTTCCCAAGTAGACAAAGCTCTCCACAACCTCTAGTATCTCACCACCTTGAGTGACCGCAGGCAGGGTCACCTGCTAGTCTTGAAAGAGAGTCTTGCACTTGGATGGCGAAAAGTACATACTATACTTTGATACTCCAATCACCAAGCGGTTTAGTGCAAGTTAGACTGCGTGTGGATCGTCACCCAGCAAGACGATATCATCAGCATGATCCAAATCAACAACTCCACTACCTGGGAGGAGCTCAACGCCAGGGTTCAACGAATCGCCCAGAGCGTTCTTTAGGACATCATCAATGGCAAAGTTGAATAGGAACGGAGAGATAGGGCATACTTGTCGAACTCCATTGGAGACCACAAACGTAGGCGAAAGCTTGCCTTAACCCTGCCTGAGGTCAGACCATAGAGAGCGCGCAGTATGGAGACGAACTTCTTGGGGGCACCATTCCTCAGTAGGAAGTGCCACAATGCCGTCCGATCGACAGAATCGAAGGCTACACGGATATCCAGGAACACAGCAATCTTTGGCCTCTGATGCACATGGCGGAGCTCGAGGATCTGACGGAGTGTGCAGATCTAATCGATGCAGCCGCGACCAGAGCGAAACCCAGCTTGTTCTTTTCACTGCAACGACTCACGCGTTAGGGATAGCCTGAGAAGCATGATGGATACTAGCAGCTTGCAAACGATGGGGACTAAGCTTATGCCTCTGTAGTTGGAGCAGATTGTGCTCAAGGCCTTTTTGAAGATGGCGACGACTATCGATTCACCCAAAGATGATGGAACTTCCTCTTTGGACCAAGCTTTCGAGAAGAAAGCAGTGAGTTTTCGAACCAGCGAAGCGCCACCACCTTCGAAAAGAGCTGGAGGAAGACCATCAGGGCCAGGGGCTTTATAACGCTTCCTATGGCGGAGCTCCTGCTCGATTTCCTTGTAAGAGGGAGGATCTGTGGGGGTAGACAACTCGGCCCCAGTGCGAACGCCAGAAGTAGTAAATAGAGCTGGGGGCTAACAAAACTGCGAGCCAAAATGTTCGGCTCATCGCTCCAACCGTCGTTGAAGATTGGTGATTAAGGTGCCATCCTGTTCGCATATTGTTTCACTTATACCAGATCGAACACCTTCGGTGACTCGAATGAGTTGGAAAAGTTTTCCGGTATTACCAGAGAGATTAGCGAGCTCCATCTCCTTAGCTCGTTCACACCACCAAGCTTCGCGGTCCATTTGCAGACTCCTGTGCAACTGTCGACCCAGAGATTGGCGTTCTTCACTGTGTTTGGAATCCGACGGGATCAAGCGGCGTTTGTCGATTAGCGGACAAGGCGACGGCGGAAATCCAATGCTTCGGGGGTGACGAACAACTCCAAAAGTGTCGATACTGGCGGAAACTAAGGCATCTTTGATCTGCGCCCACTGCGAATCGAGGTCCCTGCCATTAGTTGAGCCAAGCAAGGTTGACAGTGAGGCTTGGTACTTGATTAAAATCGCAGGGTTTTGTAGATTTGTGACGTCCGGTCGGTTGCCAGCGCGCTTGGGTGATCCTCCGAAACACATGCAAATCTTAGCACGAACCAACGCGTGATCGGATTCTAGATAACTTGACCACTACGATCGGCAGTCCGTTATGCTTCCGCGCCGTCTGTAGCTGATTGCTATGTGATCGAGTTGGCTACACTCTTGCGTTTGTTAGGGCGGGCGCCAGTTAGCAGCGTGTCTTGTCGAGTGCCGAAAACTAGTGCTCGAGAGAAACAAGCGATGGTCAGAGCAAAGAACAAGCATTCTGTCTCCATAGTTTGATCGACTGCCACCGAGACCAAAACTTACCCCAAGGTGGTGCTCACTTGGTGTTTTAAAATCCCCGGCAAATATGACTATATCAGTACTTTCGGAGAAACTGTACCAGAAAACTTGTTCTCCAAACTCAACAGGGGCAAATGCTTCGAAAAATTTGACCTAGCTGGCGCTTACTTGCAAGTTTGAGTTGCCGAAGAGTGCAGAGCATTACTAACGGTTAATAGGCACCTCGGACTTTTCCGGTACTACCGGCTGCCATTTGGGGTGAAAACCGCATCGGCCATTTTACAACGCATTATAGATACCATGCTTAACGAAATCCCCAATACCGCAGTCTACCTGAATGACGCTTTGATTATGTGCGCAGACCCGCAAGACATGATGCACGCACTGGAGAGTGCTTTCACTGTTGGAAGAAGCTGGGTTTCGATTACAGACTGAGAAATGTGAGTTCATGTTAAATGGTGTTAAGTTCCTTGGGTTTATTATAAACCGACATGGCTGGAGCCCAGACCCACCACTATCGAAGCCATTAAACAGTTGAAGCCTCCGGAATACGTCGCATAGCTTCGCTCGTCCCTCGTTCTCGTGACTCACTACAGTGTTTTCCTACCAAGCCCGCACCAAAACAGAGGTCCGCTGAACCAGTTGTTGACGAAAGACAACGTTTGGCAATGGACAAAGAAATGCCAGCAGTCTTTTGACACAGTTGTAGCAGCACTCACTTCTGGTCTACTCCTAACTCCTTTCATTCCGAACTTGGAAACCGTCATTGCCTCGGAGGACATGGCTTTTCTTGGGTCCGACGCAGTGGCTGTGCAAACACTGCTGGATAGACTGATGCATAGCGCCGCACGCTTCGGCAGCTTCGAAGTGCAAAGTACTGCTGCAGGACTGGACCGACACACCTCCGGTTCTAGCTATCACCGTACAACCACTGGAAGTGGTGGATCGGTTCACTTACTTTGGTAGCTGTGTCATCTCCGGTGGTCACATCACTGAAAAAGTTAATTCTCGTATCAGCAAGGCCCGTTTGGCCTTCCAGAGAAGCAACCATCTATGGATACGGCGGGATATCATTCTGTCAGTGAAAGGTAAAGTGTATGACCCTGCGCTAAGGCTGGTATCAATGTATGGATCATAAATCTTTCCAATTCTCTGCGAACACATTAAACGCTTGGCCGTGTTTGACCACCGGTGCTTGCTGACTTGCCATACAACCTCGTGGTGCCAGTTAGATGGTTCGGAATTATCCCATTCCAACGAATGGTTCAGCGGCAGTGTTCCAAGGGGTGGTGGGTTTTGGC